AGTGTACAAAGTGAGGGATGGTGGTTATAGTCACGAGAGTGGCCTCTTATATAGGTGTCTGGCTAGGAAACATATTTCAGTGTGGGTACGATTTTGGGTATCGGCTCTGTTCTAGAGTGGTCGGGGTCAAAGTCGCAGATATAAATCACAAAATGTGACGTATTACTGTTGTTGTTGGTTAGGGAGGTAGGTTGGGCACCGACTGCTGAAAGGTGTCGACTGGCCACTGCAGGTTGTCGGATAGGACGGGCTTGACTATGGACACGGAAGGATGTGGATGGTGTGGAGACCTAAGGACAGTGACCAGGCTATGATAGGATTAGCCAATGGTCAGTCTAGCTCTGGTACCAAGATTGTCATTGCCAGATTTTCTGAGACATAAAATCCCAGCAAATAACCCTTGTGTCATCACCGTCCCCAGGATTTTACTGTTGTTGGTGGACACTTCCTTGATATAGAATTCCAAGTAGTTACAAGAATTTGAATACAAGACCATAAAGGTCCATTGAGTATATCAAGGATCTCTAGTGGTGGATGACGGAAGCGACTCGTGGATCTCCAACGTTGATGGGACTCCATTCCCACTGGAACAACTGGCCTAGCTAACTTCTATCTCACGTGGCTGCTATCTCCAATTTCTAGGTTGCAAGGTGTCTTCGTAGTCCTCGTCTCCGAATTGTAAATTTGGCCAAGACAATAGCCAAGTACAAGCTAGTGAGTACGCTTGAATGTGCTCGCAAATATCATGAACAAAAGATATAATAAAAGCAGGCAGAATGCATGCAACTAATTCTAAGTATATTCTACCATGTCGTGATAAGAATTTAATGCTATCATGTGAAGTATTATATATGCACAATTAATAAAGGTTGTCAACTAATATCAGTAAGGTATAAGTAAATCATAATGTTGCATAGAAATTTAGATTCGGGCCTCAGGAGGTAGAACCGTCCCAAAGGAATCCAAGAGAAAAAAGTAAAACAATGCCACAGTTGGATGTCTTCGCGACGCCACACAAAGGGCTTTACTTCAATTGGAATTAAAGGCAAAGGGAATTCTAGGTGCTAGAACCGTCCGGTGAATTCCAAAAGAAAATAATATATGAGCCAGTCAGGTGTCTGAAGCGACGCCTCGAAAGGTCTTGAAAATAAATGCCACAGTCGGGTGTCTGAAGAGGCGCCTCATAAAGGGCTTACAAGAAAATAAAAACACGAGTATCCAGGTGGTAAAACCTTCCCAGAGATACTCAACAATTAATATAAGAGAAAGGGTTAGTCCATAATAACATTAGTGATCACAATCTTCCATCGTAAATCATAACCAGTTTCTGATTTAGTTCCTTTTTCCTCTGAAGACCAACACTAAGACCGACACTTGACCGATCCCAGACTATAGTCCTTAACCGCGGACACGGCTATTTGAATAGGTTTTATACTCTGCAGAGGTTGTACCCTTTACCCACAATTTCTTTAGTCAACACCGAGACATTGACTAATTCCAGTTACAGCCTTTCGGTTGACAACACACCTAACTAGCACACACCAACTTAAATTTCCTGATGTCGAGAATCACCGAAAGCATCTCTCAAGAAAACTCTAAGACGGAGAGGTCACAACCTTGCATGGGATCGCAATTTATACCGCGCGCTAACTAAGGGGTGCCCTCCTCTCGGCCTCCGCCGGAAACACCCATGCCCCCTGACCCGATGACTGGCATTATTCCTGGAACCGGGAAACCCGCATCATGGCCCTCTATATGGTGTGCGCGGGAAAGGGGTTAACAACTTACTAAATCGTACCCTAGCTATGGAAGGGACAAGTGGGAGCATGAATCAAGTATGGGGGTTACCGGAACATGATTCGATCTATGGTCAACTCAGGAGATTTATATTTTCTTGCAATGATTAGCACAATATATTTCCTTGGTGGCACCCAACAGGGCCACCCCATGGCATGTCCCAACATGCACTCACTATTCATACTCGTCACAACGAGATCCATGTCTCACGGTCACTTTCACTAGTGACAGATTCTTTCCTACATGTTAGTCACAACAAATATAGCCATGGGTGTCACGAGGCAATAACCACATCCACATGTGTTCATGTTTAAGTGAAACAATTCTATCAATGAATTACCATACACATGATCAAAATTATTCTAGCAAGCAAACAACCAAACTTTCACCATATCAAGTGTTAAAGGTGCTTGCCTTGACCATGCAGAAAGGTTGGGTGTAGTTCACAAGCTTTGAAAACATCATGTTCCCTCCACTTTCCTATTTTCAAAATAATGCAAATCTCACATAAAACCATAATAGTACAAAAAGTTGTTTGTAAATTTTTGAAATAAATACTAAGATAAATTAGATAAAATTTTAGGAATAACAGAAAAAGAATCAAGTTGTTTGGAGTTGTGCTTTAAAAACTAAAGGCGGTCAAAGTTGTAGTCAAATCTATTTTTAATTTAAAACTTAAAAAGAAAACGGTCCGGACATAAATACGTCTCCCTGCAGGGTAAACGTACTAAGCCGAACGCGCCAGCGATTTAGACGGAAAAGAATAGAATCCTGGCAGATGGGTCCCCCCGTCAGGTTTGAAAATCGCGGGCGAGAACAGAGGGGAGGAGGGGGTGGTCACCGGCAGCGATCGACGACGATCCAGGGGATGGCGGTGGTGCAGGTGTGCACAGGGTGCTTGTCCGCATCGGTGGGTGGTGTATTTGGTCGCCGACGAGCAGCGTAACGACGGCGACGTCGACTCCGGCGGACGGCGGCTTCGGGTGATGTGGGATCTCATCAGAGGGACCTCCGAACGTCAAATTGACGCACGGGTCAGATGAAGAAACGTATTTTGAGGCTACTGGTGAAATTTGGGAGGTGGAGGTGGAGGTGGACGAACGGCGTCGGTTTCTTCTCGGGATCAAAGGCGGATCGGGCGGCCGGAGTTGGGGAAGAAGACCTCCCCGAGGCCGTTAGATCCCTCTGGTGTGCGATTGGGAATGGGTGGAGGTGGTGTGTGCTCAAAACGGGGCTTGGATTGCCGTTTTAAAACCCGAGCGGCGATGATAGGAGACGATCGGATCACGCCGGAGTTGATTTGGCCGGTGGAGGTAGCTATGGCCGATGCGCGTGGACGGTGGGTGTCGATGTGATCGGTGGAATCTCCTCAAAGCGCCAGCGCGCTCGATTCCAAGCTCCACGGCCTCGCTCACAGTGAATCTCCCGTACGGCCATGGCGGACGACGCCAGCTCCGGCGACTGACAACAGGGCCTGAGCTGTCTAGACGGTGGTCTGGTGTCGCGAGGAAGGGGTAGGCCTGGGCAGTGCGTGGTGTAATGGCGCGTCGGTGGCAGTGGCTAGCTGGCGGCTGCCCGTGGCTTGGCCGGCGGCCATTGCACCGGTCTGCTGCCCCGCTGGTCGGTGCTATCGACTGGCGAGTGGGTCAGGGCGTAGTCTAGAAGGTTTGCAATGAAGGGGAGGAAGAGCTCCTCTGATTTTTTTTCCCAAAATCAGTATGGTGCACAGAAGGTGTTCGACGAAATGCCAATGCTAGCTAGGCATTTTTGAAAAATTTGAAACTTTTTGTGGAGGCTCTCTGATGCAGTTCTAAGATGCTGTAAAAGTTCCAGAATTGTTGGAGTAGGAGAGATTGGGTTTTAAGCAAGGAATATGAATCTGGTCCAAATTTCATTCAAATGGAATTTGAATTATTTGAACTATGGACCTGAATGTTTTTTAAGAAATTGAATGAGGGTAGTGATGTTTTGTTGTAGTAGGATTTGTGAGGCCAGAAGTGCTAAGGAGATCATAGTTCCTTTGCAATCCACAAGAATCAATAATTGTTGGAAAATTGGGTTTAGAAATAATTTGAATAACAAAAGAAATTTTTGTGTGGGTAGAATGAGGTATGGATTCTGCCATAGGGCAGGGGAGGTGCTTGAGAACACATTTTGAAATAAATTTGGGTCTAAAAGGGCCCCAGCTTTTAAAATAAAAAATAAAAAAAATTAGACAATTGAAGAAAAAATTACTTCCATAATAATTTAAAATATGAAACTTTTCAGGATATTTGTGAAAAGAAAACCATCATATATAAATCACAAGAAAACTTTAAACACCAAAAGAAATTATTTGAATTAGTTTTAGTGCAACAAAAACATTCTAAAGTTTAAAAAATACCATAAAAGATAATCTTTGGGCAAACTTTTATTATGGAAATATTTCTTACTGAATGTTAAAAGTTAAATGAAATGATTTAAGAACACTCTCAAACACACAATATTTTTCAAATTTTCTATATGGAGGGAAGAATATTAGAAAAGAAACTAGAAATAATAAAAGTCCTAATATAATTCAAAATTTTATTTCTGTCCACGTTTTACTTAACAAAAGCATGGTTAATTTTTTGGGGTGTCACATAGGGTCACCGCTAAGAGGGTGACCAGATTGGTGATCCTTTCTTGATCAAAAAGTTGGTGGAGATTGTTTTGGAAGATCAGCTTCCTCAGCCTAGGATCATATCATGTCCCTTGGGCCTGGTTGGCATTGAAGTCAGTTTATCGTCTGGCTTCCCAGGAGGTGAGCCACCCACAGTACCTTGTACCATCAATAACTTCTTATAAGAATTCTATGGGTATGTTACCATTTCAAATGGTTTATGCAACATCATGTAATCTACCTTGAAGATAAAACATAAAGCATATTGTCCTGTTAAACAACAAAATAATGATTCGGATTGGCTCAGGAGAAAATGTTACTTGACATGAGTGCTTTAGGTGAATGTCAGAATTAATCTTATGAAAATACTAAGATGTTTGACAAGTGTTGGCCACTGACCACAATACTTTTTTTGCTCACGCAAGCATAAACACTGAAGATGTTCACCGACACCACTTCATAGACTCCAGTGTAATTACAACCAATTAAAACATAAAGAGTGCAGTTAAAAGGTTGACATGACAAATACTAAGCGTTCATTCAACACCACATAGATGCTCCTCTACTGAAATGCCCACGGGTTCTCCCTGCGGATCTTCTCCTCGTCCTCTGGCAAGTAGTCGTTCTCGGTGTTGAAGAAATTACGGATCTCCTCTGGAGGTTTGCCACTAATCATGTCTGCAGCAGTCTGGCAAGTCAGGTCCAACAACCCCTTGATGTCGAGGTAACTTGCAGCCTGAGAGGGGGCAGAAAGAACCATAGGGTGTCAGAGAGAAGCATTAATGGCTATAGAACATGGATAATTAGATAGATCGTCTTGCATTAAGATGTGTTACAAGCTAATAAAACACAAAACAACACATGAAGTGACCTATCATGTGAGAGAGAAGCATTAATATATGTAGCATAATCATAAAACATAAAACAACACATGAAGTGACCTATCGTCTGATGTTTCTGCATGTTAATCACATAAAATTTGCTGGCACAATGATAGTGCATTTGGTAAGTTCACACTGATCATAATAAAGCTTCATAGGTTACACATAACAATGACATACACATATCAATGAAACATATCAGATCACAAGATGATACCCTAACCTATTTACTAGGATTTTGTATGGCCGACCAATGTGTACATCACTAATAAATCATAGTCATGTATAATCTAAACCTAATCTAGTCCAATCGAATCGAACCAAATCTACCTTGATTCTTGTACGAGGAGTCCATCCAATCTAATATAAACAGTAGCAAGACGGGCAAGCCCAATCTAGATTCGAGTGCCAAAAGGGGAACATCAAGAAAAAGTAGATCTAGAAAAACTAAATGGTCGAATTGAAGGATATCATACCTTGATGAGTTCGAAGAGGGTGTCAGGGTCGACGTTGATGAATTCTGCGTCCCAGATCTTGAGGTCCTCGGCTAGGGCGGCAGGAGCCATGGTGTCAGACGCAGTAGCACCTGTGGCTCCACTAGAGACGTCAACTGTCTTGGCCAGGACATGTTTATTGAAATACTCGATGACCTTGGAGAGGACCTTGGAGTTGATGTTGGGTATCGGAATGCCTTTGTCGGCGCAGTCATCCTCGATCATGTGGCGGATGGTCTGCCACTCCATGGTGACTGCCTCCTCCACCTCGAACTCCTCGCCATCGGCCGACTTGAGCATTATCATCTTCTTCTCACATGCCTCTACGGTCGCCATCTGCTGGATCTGGGCTAAGGTGGGGGCGGATGAATTGGGGATTGGGGAAACCCTAGAAACACAACGGCGGTGACGACGGCAGAGGAGAGGAAAAGATGGGAGATTTGGTTGTTGTGGGGTGGGCTGGGCTAGGTTCCAGGGGAATTTATTTATTGAGGCGGGGCAACACATGAATGGACACCTATCTATCGTACATCACAAGGAAACGAAGACAAGTACTACCAAACCAAATCGAACCAAATTTGGACGGGATTTGTTTTATGAGATCTATAGGAGCAAGGGTCCGAGTACATATTCCACCGTCCGATCTATATCTAGCGCATGCAAGGCCAGCGGTTGCACTTTTACAAAAAGGCTTCCGCCACTCCGCTCTTTTCTTTTGCACAAAACCACTTTGTCTCCCCATGCAACCTCATCCCTCCCCCAACGTCCTCCAGCCAGTCGTGGATCCCGATCTAGCATGGTGGGCACCACACCATCCCGCGCCCCAATGCCACACATGCCTCCTCTTTATCGCGGTCGCCCACCACCACCAGGACCCCCTTCTCCGGCCATCTCCTCTATGCCATTCCTCGTCTCCTCCAATGCCGACCTTTGCAAGTACGTGACCAACGTTGTAGTTCCTCGATGCATCGTGAATGTCCTCCTCTGTTCCAACAGCCCCACCACCCACCATCACCACCACCTCCCTTTCCTCCTCCTCGGTAGTGGTAGCGGCTAGGCGAAACCCCAGCAGGGTGAGGAAGAGGAAACATGGTGGTGGTGGAAGATAGGAAAGATGGATGATTTTGTTGTTGTAAGATGGGTTGGGCTTCTAGGGTCCGGGTTGGGATATTTAATGGGGGAGGGTCAGCAACGCCTGGTAGGATAGAGTGTCGGACCTCACAAGGAAGTGACCCAAATTTGGACCATGTAGATGGATTAAACATTTATCAATGTTAAATCATGGGACATAGTTGTATTGTGGTTTCCTAATTTGGCTTCTGCCTGAGCACTAAAGTTTGTCATAGACACAATTTAAGTTTCTATATAGGAGAAGATTGTACTTATGATAAAAAGTGCTCATTGCAAATATCCTAGACATGTTAAATATATGATTCAAAGAAGAAATGCGGAATTCATTGGTCTCCTTCTACCATCAAATATTATGCAATAATATTCAATGCTTTGGTGGATTGGGGATTAGGGAAAACCCTAGTGCGATAGTGGTGGCGGTGGAAGAGAGGAAAGATGGGCGCTTTGTGAAGGAAATATGCCCTAGAGGCAATAATAAAGTTATTATTTATTTCCTTATATCATGATAAATGTTTATAATTCATGCTAGAATTGTATTAACCGGAAACATAATACATGTGTGAATACATAGACAAACAGAGTGTCACTAGTATGCCTCTACTTGACTAGCTCGTTGACCAAAGATGGTTATGTTTCCTAACCATAGACATGAGTTGTCATTTGATTAACGAGATCACATCATTAGGAGAATGATGTGATTGACTTGACCCATTCCGTTACCTTAGCACTCGATCGATTAGTATGTTGTTATTGCTTTCTTCATGACTTATACATGTTCCTATGACTATGAGATTATGCAACTCCCGTTTACCGGAGGAACACTTTGTGTGCTACCAAACGTCACAACGTAACTGGGTGATTATAAAGGTGCTCTACAGGTGTCTTCGAAGGTACTTGTTGGGTTGGCGTATTCAAGATTAGGATTTGTCACTCCGATTGTCGGAGAGGTATCTTTGGGCCCACTCGATAATACACATCACTTAAGCCTTGCAAGCATTGCAACTAATGAGTTAGTTGCAGGATGAGGTATTACGGAACGAGTAAAGAGATTTGCCGGTAATGATATTGAACTAGGTATTGAGATACCGATGATCGAATCTCGGTCAAGTAACATACCGATGACAAAGGGAACATCGTATGTTGTTATGCGGTTTGACCGATAAAGATCTTCATAGAATATGTGGGAGCCAATATGAGCATCCAGGTTTCGCTATTGGTTATTGACCGGAGACGTGTCTCGGTCATGTCTACATAGTTCTCGAACCCGTAGGGTCCGCACGCTTAAAGTTCGATGACGGTTATATTATGAGTTTATGTGTTTTGATGTACCGAAGAAGTTCGGAGTCCCGGATGAGATCGGGGACATGACGAGGAGTCTTGAAATGGTCGAGACATAAAGATCGATATATTGGACGACTATATTCGGACTTCAGAAAGGTTCCGAGTGATTAGGGTATTTTTCGGAGTACTGGAGAGTTACGGGAATTCGCCGGGGAGTATATGAGCCTTATTGGACCATACGGGAATAGAGAGAGGCCAAAAGGAAGGAGGCCTGCGCCCCCCTCTGGTCCGAATTGGACAAGGGGTGCAGCCCCCTTTTCCTTCTCCCTCTCCTCCTCTTTCCTTCTCTCCTACTCCAACAAGGAAAGGAGGAGTCCTACTCCCGGTAGGAGTAGGACTCCCCCTTGGCACGCCCTTCTCCTAGGCCGGCCGCCTCCCCCCTTCCTCCTTTATATACAGGGGCAGGGGGCACCTCTAGACACACAAGTTGATCAAGTTGATCGCCTCTTAGCCGTGTGCGGTGCCCCCCTCCACCATAGTCCACCTCGATAATACTGTAGCGATGCTTAGGCGAAGCCCTGCGTCGGTAGAACATCAACATCGTCACCACGCCATCGTGCTGACGAAACTCTCCCTCAACACTCGGCTGGATCGGAGTTCGAGGGACGTCATCGGGCTGAACGTGTCCTAAACTCGGAGGTGTCGTACGTTCGGTACTTGATCAGTCGGATCGTGAAGACGTACGACTACATCAACCACGTTGTGCTCACGCTTCCGCTTACGGTCTACGAGGGTACGTGGACAACACTCTCCCCTCTCATTGCTATGCATCACCATGATCTTGCGTGTGCGTAGGAATTTTTTTGAAATTACTACGTTCCCCAACAGTGGCATCCGAGCCAGGTTTTATGCGTTGATGTAATATGCACGAGTAGAACACAAGTGAGTTGTGGGCGATATAAGTCATACTGCTTACCAGCATGTCACACTTTCGTCCGGCGGTATTGTTGGATGAAGCGGTCCGGACCGACATTACGCGTACGCTTACGCGAGACTGGTTCTACCGACATGCTTTGCACACAGGTGGCTGGCGGGTGTTAGTTTCTCCAACTTTAGTTGAACCGAGTGTGGCTACGCCCGGTCCTTGCGAAGGTTAAAACAACACCAACTTGATAAACTATCGTTGTGGTTTTGATGCGTAGGTAAGAACGGTTCTTGCTAAGCCCGTAGAAACCACGTAAAACTTGCAACAACAAAGTAGAGGACGTCTAACTTGTTTTTGCAGGGCATGTTGTGATGTGATATGGTCAAGACATGATGCTAAATTTTATTGTATGAGTTGATCATGTTTTGTAACCGAGTTATCGGCAACTGGCAGGAGCCATATAGTTGTCGCTTTATTGTATGCAATGCAATCGCCCTGTAATGCTTTACTTTATCACTAAGCGGTAGCGATAGTCGTAGAAGCATAAGATTGGCGAAACGACAACGATGCTACGATGGAGATCAAGGTGTCGTGCCGGTGACGATGGTGATCATGGAGGTGCTTTGGAGATGGAGATCACAAGCACAAGATGATGATGGCCATATCATATCACTTATATTGATTGCATGTGATGTTTATCTTTTATGCATCTTATCTTGCTTTGATTGACGGTAGCATTATAAGATGATCCCTCACTAAATTATCAAAGTATAAGTGTTCTCCCTGAGTATGCACCGTTGCGAAAGTTCTTCGTGCTGAGACACCACGTGATGATCGGGTGTGATAGGCTCTACATTCAAATACAACGGGTGCAAAACAGTTGCACACGCGGAATACTCAGGTTAAACTTGACGAGCCTAGCATATAACAGATATGGCCACGGAACACGGAGACCGAAAGGTCGAGCGTGAATCATATAGTAGATATCATCAACATAGTGATGTTCACCATTGAAACTACTCCATCTCACGTGATGATCGAACATGGTTTAGTTGATTTGGATCACGTGATCACTTAGAGGATTAGAGGGATGTCTATCTAAATGGGAGTTCTTAAGTAATATGATTAATTGAACTTTAATTTATCATGAACTTAGTCCTGGTAGTATTAGCATATCTATGTTGTAGATCAATTGCTCGCGATATTGCTCCCTGTTTAATTTTTTATATATTCCTAGAAAAAACTATGTTGAAAAATGTTAGTAGGAATGATGCGGATTGGATCCGTGATCTGAGGATTAACCTCATTGCTGCACAGAAGAATTATGTCCTTGATGCACCTCTAGGTGACAGACCTATTGCAGGAGCAGATGCAGACGTTATGAACATTTGGCTAGCTCAATATGATGACTACTTGATAGTTTAGTGCACCATGCTTAACGGCTTAGAATCGGGACTTCAAAGACGTTTTGAACGTCATGGACCATATGAGATGTTCTAGGAGTTGAAGTTAAATATTTCAAGCAAATACCCGAGTTGAGAGATATGAAGTCTCCAACAAGTTCTATAGCTAAAATATGGATGAGAATAGCTCAAGCAGTGAGCATATGCTCAGATTGTCTGGGTACTACAATCGCTTGAATCAAGTGGGAGTTAATCTTACAGATAAGATAGTGATTGACAAAGTTCTCTAGTCACCATCACCAAGTTACTAGAACTTCGTGATAAACTATAGTATGCAAGGGATGACGAAAACGATTTCCGAGCTCTTCATGATGTTGAAATCGACGAAGGTAGAAATCAAGAAAGAGCATCAAGTGTTGATGATTGACAAGAACACTAGTTTCAAGAAAAGGGCAAAGGGAAAGAAGGGGAACTTCAAGTAGAATGATAAGCAAGTTGTCACTCCCGTGAAGAAGCCCAAAGCTGGACCAAAGCCTGAAACTGAGTGCTTCTACTGCAAAGGAAATGATCACTGGAAGCGGAAATTCCCTGAATATTTGGTCGATGAGAAAGATGGCAAAGTGAACAAAGGGTATATTTGATATACAGGTTATTGATGTGTGCCTTACTAGTGTTTATAGTAGCCCCTGAGTATTTGATACTTGTTCGGTTGCTAAAATTAGCAACTCTAAACAGGAGTTACAGAATGAACAGAGACTAGTTAAGGG